AGGATTTCTCCAAGATAGTCATACCCTTGACTCAACTAACAAAGAAGGCCGTAGTCTTTCGTTAGGGGCCTGAGCAGTAGGCAGCGTTCGAGACACTGAGACAGAGATTATGCGAGGCGCCAATCTTAGCCCTGCCAAAGGGCGTGGAGGATTTTGTAGTATACTGCGATGCGTCTATTTCGGGCTTGGGTGCAGTACTGATGCAGAGAGGACATCTCATCGCCTACGCCTTAAGGCAGTTGAAGCCCTACGAGACGAACTACCCGACACACGATTTGGAGTTAGGGGCGGTCGTCTTCACCCTCAATATTTGGCGACACTATCTCTATGGGGTTCGATGTACCATTTACACGGTCCATAAGAGTCTGAGATACCTCATGGATCAACCGAATTTGAATATGAAGCATCATCGGTGGTTAGATGTGGTGAAGGATTATGATTGCGAGATCCTTTACCACCTAGGGAAGGCCAATGTGGTGGCCGATACGCTTAGTCGTAAGGCAGTGCCGATCAGATACATTTGCATGCGGATGACAGTAGTGACTCCACTGTTGGAGCAGATCCGAGAGGCCCAACGGGAAGCTATGAAGGATGAACATCGGAAGAGCGAGCGTATAATGGTTCAGGTTTCCTCCTTCGACTATGATAGCCGAGGGTTATTGACTCTTCACCGTAGGGTGTAGGTCCCTTATCATGGAGGCGTGCGCAAGATATTGATGGAGGAGGCACACAAATCCAGGTTTTCTATCCATCCCGGAGCGACGAAGATCTATATGGATTTTCGCCCTGATTATTGGTGGCCCTGCATGAAGCAGGATGTAGCGTGGTACGTGGAGCGGTGCTTGACCTGCAGGAAGGTCAAGGCCGAGCACCAGAGACCATACATCAAGATGCAGCCGTTAGATATTCCCATGTGGAAATGGGAAGATATTACCATGGACTTCATCACCAAACTTCCCAGGACAATGCGGGGAGTGGATTTCATATGGGTCATCGTGGATCGATTGACCAAGAGTGCCCATTTCATACCGATCTAGAAGAGTATGTCGGTCGAGAAGCTGGCTGACATCTACATTCGAGAGATGGTGGCTCGGCATGGAGTGCCAGTCTCCGTGATTTCTGATAGAGATGTGCGGTTTACTTCCAGATTTTGGAAGAAATTCCATGACGAGTTGGGTACTCTTCTATACTTTAGCACCACTTTTCACCCATAGATGGATGGACAGAGCGAGCGGACCATCCAGAATCTGTAGGATATGCTGCGGGCATGTGTGCTAGACTTTGGTGGTCGTTGCGATACCTATCTCCCATTAGCTGAGTTCTCCTACAACAACAGCTACCACGCGAGTATCGATCGTCCTCCCTTTGAGATGTTATACGGGAGGAAGTGCAGTACCCCGATATGTTGGGGTGAGGTGGGCCAGAGGGTCATGGGGAGCACCGAAGTGGTGCTCAAGATGACATAAAGGATTCAGCAGGTCAGGAGCAGGCTTCAGACTGTCCAGAGTCGGCAGAAAAGTTATGCCGACAAGCACCACTCAGACCTGGAGTTCCAGGTCGGGGATATGGTCCTCCTAAAGGTGTCACCATGGAAAGGCATCATCTGATTCAGGAAGCGGGGCAAGCTGGGCCGCAGGTATATTAGACCCTTCAAGTTGATAGCCCGGGTAGGCAAGGTGGCGTACAGGCTGGATCTGCCAGCGGAACTTAGTCAGATCCATAGCACTTTCCATGTCTCCCAGCTGCAAAAGTGCTTGGCTGATGACTCGGAAATGGTACCTCTGGAAGTTATTCAGCTGGATGACAGCCTAAACTACATTCAGCAGCCCGTGGCAATCCTCGATCGGAAGTCGAAGGATCTGAGGAACAAGAGGGTCGAGCTGGTGAAGGTGTAATGGCAGCACTGAAAGGACTCAGAATGGACGTGGGAGCCGGAGGACAAGATGATGGAGCATTACCCAGAGCTTTTTCAAGATCGAGCAGCATACTTCAAGGAAAAAGTCTAAAATAAGTGGGGGAGATTTTTAGCACCCGGTTCCTGGTACGTATTTTCATTCAAGTAATTATAACATTTTGGCCTGAGACTTGGCGAGTTGAAGTCCAACTCATTGAGCGGAATCGACTTTGGACACAAGAGTTTAGTGACCTACTCGACGAGTCGGCAAACCGACTTGACGAATAGGCGTTGTTTGGATAAAACCCTAAATCCAAGGGATTGCACCCTATTTAAACATCTTCATGCAGCCTCCATCGTCCCTTATGCTCCCAGAACACCTCATACTAAAACCCTAATTGTTTTGTGAGATCTAAGGCCCTTTTTGGTGATTTTGGTGGTTTGTGATCACAAGAAAGAAGGAAAAGCTTGAGTAGCCAAGAAGAAACTAGAAGATTTCGAGTTTGTGTAGCATCTACAGTTCCTTAGAGGTATAAAGCTTATACCTTGTTCATTCATGTTCTAAATCCCTTTTTGGAGTGAATAAGGCTTTTTGGAACCATTTTTGGTGACCAATCATGAGTGCAAGCATGGTTGGGGGTTAAGACTCCAGATTCAGGGTCCTTAGGGGACTATATGGCCTAAAGTGGCCAACTTTGTAGCCATTAAGAGCCACATGCACCTTTAGACCTCATTTTTGGGTCCATTAAGCTTATATTCCCATCCATGCACGTAAACTTCATAACTTTACATGTTGGATCGGTCTTAGAAGCCCATATCTGTCTTTTGGATGAATGTTGTACATAAGAAATCGAGATATAAGACTTGGACAACACCGACTTGTCGAGTTGTTCTTGGAACTCGGCGAGTCCAGGGCTTGAGTGCCCAAGTGGTTGAGGTTCAAAGGAACCCAGTTGAGTGTTAGAAGGTTCTTAGAGGGGTCCCGGGGAGTGACTCAACATATTAGACTTAGCAATGGACCTGGGAATCATAGGACTCGGCGAGTCGGATGAAGGTTCATTCGATGATATTATAGAAGGTGAACTCGTCGAGTCTTTGCTAAACTCGACGAGTAGAGTCGGGAGGGGGTCAGATGAAAGAATAAGGACTCTGTGAGTTGGCGGCCCAACTCGGCGAGTCAGGTCAATTGGAAGTTGATTTTGACCAGGATATTGACTTTGGCCAGGGGTAAAATAGTCATTTTACCCTAGGAGTAGTTATCAACTTCTAACTAAGTGTCTTTATGGGAATTATAGTCGGAGAATCGCCGAAGCAGCATTCAGAGTCTTCTCACTCGGATTGACAGCATTCATTCATACCAGGTGAGTTACCTTCTAGTAGTGGTGGGTCTACGACCACAATGCCATCCCACCAGTAGGAGTTGTATGTTAGATGATTGTCTTTGTGATATTCATCTAGGTTTGCTACTACATGATATGTTATATGCTAGCATAATATGTTATATGTGATAGTGGTAGTAGGGGGAATAGTCCCCAAGTTCGGTAGTTAGGACCGAAGGGTAGGTCGGGCACCCAAGATATGCCTGACAATATGTTATAATATAAGTGATAGTGATAGTAGGATGGGAATAGTCCCCAGGGGTTGTTTGTTAGGACCGAAGGGTAGGTCAACACCCAAGAATGGCTTGACACGGGTAGGTCGGCACCCCAAAGTTGTCGTACCGGGTAGGTCGGCACCCCAGAACGGTCGTACCGGGTAGGTCGGGCACCCCAGAATTTCCCGACAGTATGTATGGTATATGGTACGATGGGGGAACTCACTAATCTTTGTGCTTATAGTTTTCAGTTTTTTTTTCAGGTACCTCTTCAGCGAAGGGGAAAGAGCCGGCACGGTAGCTACACATCATACACACATTGGATTTCCGCATTACGAGCTTTCTTGGGATTGTACTCTGACAATGTTACTACTTTTATGATATGATTTTCAGACACAAGATTATGGTTTACAAATGATATGACTTGATGATGTTTTCTGATAAATGTTTTCGAAATCGTTATATTAAAACTGAAATTTTTGGACTTGAAATTTAGGACGTTACATATAAACTAAATGTCATGCTGACTCTACTTCTTGGGTACCCTCATGAATAATGGGCTTCATATGATCCAAATTGGTTTAATGCAATGAAATAACAAGTGTAAAATGGTCTTATATTGAATAGGCTCTATTTCCTCACATGAAGGATGTCCTCATCATCAATTATATTTTGTTCATTATAAAGAAACATAATGTTTATGGTTCTCTTGCCATGTACAAGGTTGGTCTTCTTGTAAACGGTTGCAGTTAAACTCAAAGGCCTGATATACTATACTATAACAAGATGTTTACCTTGTGGCCAAACCCGCCACCATATGTACCCTACTTACCATTACCGTGTGTTAATTGTTTATGGGCATAATAGTTACTTGATACCAGTAGTTACTTGAACGGATATATATATATATATATATATATATATATATATATATATATATATAGTATGCTATACAAATTGAATGAATATATAACCAAAAGTATAAATAACATCAAAACTACCACTTCACTTAATTTCTTCAGTTACATTCAATGGATTCCTAAGATAAAGCTAAACAACCCAGTTCTAGTCAAACACGCAAAGCCGCACAAGGCGGTTCAAGTCAAGATATTCCAGTTTTTTCTCAAGATTTTTAAAATCCAAACTATCAGCAATGCCAAAACTACCAAAATTATCAACAAAACCAAAAATACCAAAACCAATATTTCTTGGTGCAACAATCTTACAACACATTTAGGCTTCCAGAAGAAAATCAAAGTTATAATCCATGGAGTCGGTTTTCTCAAAGGGTTCCAAAAACCCAATTCCTATATTCTCAACCCGAGAATTTCCAGTTCCATGATGATCAGAATGTAGAATCTGACAGTTCTAGTTACGAACAAACTCCCGATAGAAACGAAGAAGAAACTAACAAGGAGTTGCAACCTGTTGTTGAGTAAAAATGCAACTATACACACCGCCAGAAGCAAAAGAACTGGGTGGAACGCGAAGATTTGACTTTGGCTAGGGCATATGTCGATGTTTCTAAAGATAATCAACATGGAAATCAACAAAGGTTTGATGCATTTTAGGAGAGGGTTCTACAACATTTTAGTGTTCAAATGGGAGGTTTGGATAGGTCATGACACCAAGTGAACTCAAAATGGAAAGACCTCCAAAAGAAATGCAACGCTTTCAATAGCATCTATAACCGAAAGATGAACAATGTGGCTAGTGGGAGATATGAGGCTGATGTTTTACAATCTTCACTAAGTGTGTATCATAGGATTATTAATCAGAAAGGTTTTCCTCATCAGCAAGCTTGGGAGTGGTTTAAAGACAACACGAAATGGGAGTTGGTTACAAAAGTTGCTGAAGACTCCCCACCTCCTTCTTCAAAACGAACCAAAACATCTTCTTCCAACGCCTACACATCAACTTATGATCAACAGTATCCTCCTGGATTCTCCCCCTAACAACAATCATCGTTTAGTGTTGAAGACTCACCACATTAGAGAAAAAGAAAATGAAAGAAATCGGCATCGAAATCATCAACAAAAAATGAAATGTTTGATCTCGTCAAACAAATTATTTCATCAAGACTACAACCAAAACAAAGGTGGAACTGAGAAAATGATACCGAGAAAACAAATTGTGCATTCTCGAAGTTAATGAAGAACAGAAAGATTAATTATTGGATCGGGAGATAGAGAACCAAGATATGGAGTATTTTTTCCGGCCGCATGATCATTTGACTAGACGTACTTTGCGTACGGTGGCTGAAAGGAAAAGACAAATTTCAAGTAAGCATGGTTGGGAGTTGGAGAACACGTGAAGTTTAAAATGTCGACATCATTTGACTGGAGAATTTTTCTCCTTTTTATTATGTTTTTTATTTTATTTTTATGTTTTTTATTTTTCTTTTTATTAAGATTCTCTATATGTATCCTTCTTTCATTATATATATATATATATATGTGTGTGTGTGTGTGTGTGTGTGTGTGTGTATGTATGTATGTTTCATTTTCTCTCTATCGTTTCTCTCTTTTCAAAATGAATCAAAACATTTGGAAAATAGTAATGGAAGTTAACGATGATAGTTCGTCATCTATCAACAATACTTTGTTACCTGTATTGTCTCGTACTGCACAACTTCTTCAGAACAATGCTAGTTAAAGCAACATTCACAGGAGAAACACAATCTATAGAGATCGTTTAGAGGCTGAACGACTATTGATCCGACACTATTTTGTGGATGATTCAACCTATGGTCACACATAATTCCGCAGAAGGTTCCTTGTGAGCAAAGGTTTATTCATGAAGCTTGTTGGTGACTTAGATATGAACTATCCTTATTTTCAAACAACATGAGATGCAAAAAACCAAAGAAGTTTCAGTGTGCTTCAAAAATCCACATCAGCAATACATCCATTAGCGAAGGGTTATAACCAGACTCGTTAGATGAGTATTTGAATATGTCACAAAGAACTTCTCATGAAGCTATTTAAAAATTTTGCTACATTGTTGTCCAAATGTATAAGGTTGAATATTTACGCCATCCAACATCCACTGACATTCAACTTTTGTATGAAGCACATGAAGCAAGACATGGATTCCCTGGAATGCTTGGTAGCATTGACTGTACATATTTGAATTAGAGGAATGGTCCAACGGAATTGAGAGGCCAATACATGAAGGGTGACCATCAGTATCCATCAATGATACTAGAAGCGGTGTCGTCACAAGATTTATAGTCTTAGCATGTATTCTATAGTGTAGCCGGTTCGAACAATGATTTAAACGTCCTCTACCAATCACCACTATTTGATAAGAAATATCATAGAATAGCACCCAATTGTTTATTTTACACTATGATGAACATTAGAAACATGGTTACTATCACTACAAATAAAATGACATACAGTGGCACATATTTTTAATGGCATACGGTTAATGTGTCACTATATCATGATTTTTAGTGGCACTTATTATATAACACTAAAAAATTAATACATTTAATGGCACATAATCTTTTGTGTCACTAAATTCCATAGTTATTAGTGGCATAATGACTTGATATACCACTAAAACTATTTTTTTTTCAATTAAAAATACGGTATATATGATTCTTATAATAACAACGCACACCAGTTTTATGACGGACATAAAACTCTACAATACAAATTATGCAATATTTCATAAAATATAAAATATAAATTATCAACAACACAACAAAAACAAAAGCGAAAGAGCAAACGTCGATTAGGGTTGCTCCATCGGTGTTGTGTTGTAGAAATCGACTTGCCACTTCCGCCACTGGTAATACCATTGCCAAAGTCCAATTCTCGAGTTTGATAAAATCATGCTCCAAGGCATTCACTATGTATTTCTATTTTTGATTTCGAGTTTCAGTGGGAGCATGTGGAAGCAGAAAACGTAGAAGCCATCATCACGAGGATCGAACACAATTATCACTAGATTGAGAGTTTACTCAAACAGTAAGTACACTAAAGCCCTAATTTTCAAGACAAAGTTCCACTTTCCCCAATTTATCAAAGCACTAATAGTCGAATGATTGTGATCGATTGGGTACAGGCCGGTAGAAGCCCTCAAAACTACTCTAGAAGGATCTCCCCTAGGACGAGAGATGAACGATACAAGGTTTGTTCTACCGAAAATCCAAAATAGAAAATTGAAATTCGTATTCTGTAATCACTCATTAGCTGATTATTGCCGATTTGAGTGCTAGATTGTTTTATTTAGTCTACAAATTAGATTATGGTGCATAGAGCGTTAATGGCGACAAAATACGTGGATTTGATGCTCCTCTTTGGATGACGAGTACTATAATATTCTCATGAAGTTAGTCCGTGGTTTCTTCATCTCCTTCATTGTCTGTTTTTCATTTCATGCAATTTGAATCTGAATTTCAGCTTGTGTTTGTATTTGTATAATTCAACAGGTACTTGTATAGAGTATTGTCAACCGCCATGTGACCATAAATATCTATTCCTTGAAGTTGCACAGGTTGATGATTTAGATTCCAAGTGTTTAGTTTGTTTAATTTCTATTTTTCCTTTTCTTTTGGTTTTTATGTTCAAATTTTCTCTTATGCAGGATGGCACAAGAATTTATGAACGTATAGCTCTTGACTCTTGAGATATTAAAATATATTAGAGAACATATATGTATTCAAACAACCCCATATAAAAGCATACATGGACACCTAAGAAAAGATGAAATATAAATTAAGAGGTTATCTAATGGATGTTTTGTACAATCATGCAGGTAAGTGCTCCATTAAAAGAGCTCTGCAAAAAAGTTTGGCTTATGGATTCAAAGGTAATAAAATGGAAAGATTACATCATTCTATCATAGCATTTTTCTTGCATAAACAGAGTCCTTTTTATTTTATTTACATAATTTTGTAAGGCTTGATAGTTAAATGCTACCCGGATTCACTTCTGTATTTTAAGAAGTTGTGGGCCCATGATCATGAACTTATTAATTATTCCTTATATGTCGTCGAGGTGTGAATTCATTTGTTTATTTTTTCAATTACATTACATATAATTAATATATCAAATACGAAATATACACAAATACATTACATATTGGGCCTATTATATGACTTTTTTCTTTTTGACTTGATACATTGAAGGGATTTGAGTTTGAACAAATTAATATGAGCTCCCTTTTTTGTTCATTATATAGGAAAATAAAGAGACAACAAACTTGAAGAAAATAAGTGAATTTGTTGAAATCAAACCTTGAGTCAGGTAACTTTCATAACCCAGTTTTTTTATTTTCCAATATTTCCCCGTTTGCATTGTTGGATTGTCCAAATTTAAGCTTCATCTTGTTAGCATGCATGGTCCTTGAAACACTCGCAATGGATAAGTCGGATGATCTGGATCGTAGTATACTTTTGGTGGGTTTTTAATATTAATTGTATGTGATTCAAGTCTTACAATAGATCAAATTTGTGTTGAGTGTTATATTATTTATTTTCTAAACTAAGTATTATTTCACTGGATTCTGGATTATCTTTGTTTGTTTTTAGATATGGAATTGCTAGCATTGATTCTAGAGTATAAGATAACACAATTTGTTCAACCTATCGTGTCTTTGTACTTAGACATATTTGATATTTACCTAGATATTCGATTCAAAAAGTTAAAGAAATATTGATGAAAAACAATGAAATTTTGCTTATTTTCAATGTGTTACAGTTTAATTATTCATTTTATTTTATATTATAGATGAAATTGTATTGTGGCAAATAAAAATGTCCTTAAAATCTTAAAATATGTAACTAAAAGTAGTATAAATCTTTTTAAATCACATAAACTTTTAATGGCACAAAATATATGCCACAAAAAGTAACATCAACTATTAAATCAAATCAGATTTAGTGGCACAAAATATGTGCTGCAAAAGAAATTTGTTTTACTGTGACAAATAAAAAAAGTGTCACTGAAAGCCTATAAACTACAGCAACAAAAGCAAAAAGTGCCACTAAAAGCTTTTAGTGGGAGCGTTTCTAGTGGCATTTATTAAGTGTGCTGCTGAATCTTTGAGAACCCATTAGTGACATTTTTTTGGGCTTTTAGTGGCATTTTTTGTGTGCCACTAAATGACATATTTTTTGTAGTGTATCTTGTAGATGGAATATATCCATCATGGGTTGTATTTGTGAAGGCATATCCATATCCAGTAACCAACAAAAAGATACGGTTCATGGCAGCACAAGAATCAACAGGAAAAGGTGTAGAACATGCTTTTGGGGTCCTTAAATGACGTTGAGACATATTAAAAATGCATGTATGAGCTACGAAGGTGAAGAAAAAAATATATAATATACGTTTGTATTATATTACACAATATCATATTGAGAGATGAAGGTGTTGCGATATCTCCTTTGTATCAGCCCGATCCCCCCACCGACGAAGTCGATGACCAAGAAATAGTACATGAATTGTACAATGCTGAAACGCACCACCAGCTTGGATTCGGTCTTATTGATCACGTTGAACATGTAAAGTGAAGCCTTAGAGATAACGTACATATGTGAGTTGTTATATAGATAAGGTCTAGTTTATTTAAATGATTGTAATCCTTATCCTTGTATGTTACTGTGCTATATATAATTGACAATGGAGCCTATGATTATTATGAGGCAATTTATACTTTCTTATCATTGTTAATTTGGTATCAAATCCAGATCCCTAGGGTTCCGATTTTACCCTTCACTTTTACTCACGACATCTGGTTCTTGTTTAGATCATCTTCATTATGGCACCTTCTTTCATTAATTCTTCTAAAATCACCACTGCCATCACCTGCAAATTAACTCGTACCAACTTCCTACTTTGGAAGGCCCAAGTTGTTCCCATTCTTCGTGGTGTCCAACTCTATGGATATCTTGATGGAACAACAACTGTTCCTACTGCCAAGATAAATGTGGGAACCAGTGCAGAAGCAAAGACGACCGACAATCCTGATTATCAGAATTAGGTTGTTCAAGATCAAGCAATCCTCGGAGGATTATTGTCGTCTATGACAGAATACGTATTGTCACAGCTTACTCGATGTACTGATACATCAAAAAAGGTATGGGATGCTCTCCATACAATATTCTCTGCCCAACATAGAGGGAACTCAATTCAAATCTGTACACAACTCTCAACAACAAGGAAGGGCGACATGAGTGCGTCGGAATACTATCAGAAGATGACGTGGCTTGCCGACACTATGGCAAACATTGGTCACCCCATGCTTAATGAGGAAGTTATAGGCTACATTGTAGCCGGTCTAGGTCCAGGTCACGGGGACTTATTTACTACCATCACCGTTCTCAGCAACCAACGATAGGTGACACTACCAGAGTTCTATTCTTATCTGATTGCACATAAGACTCAAACTACAACAATGAACAAACCTACAGACTTCATCTCGTCTGCTAACAATGCTACACGGAAGGAGTCAAGTGGATCTCGGCGTAACTACAACATCAATGGGAGCAATTCTTTCAACAATAATTATCGAAATAGGGGCAGCAGTCGTGGACATGGCCGTGGCGGTGGCAGGCAAAATGGTAGTGGTCCACGATGTCAAGTATGTGGTATTCCAGTTCATACCATGTTGGTTTGCAGAAATTGATTCAATCATGCCTATCAGGCAAAAGAGTATCATGGAGGGAATAGTGCTACCACACAAAACTACAACAATGACACCAACTGGTATATCGATACCGGAGCTACAGACCATCTAACAAGTGATTTGGGTCGCTTGTCCATTCAGGAGCGATACCTTGGAAAAGACCAGGTTCAACTTTCCAATGGAACAGGTTTGCATATTTCCCATGTTGGTCATTCTCAAATTCCCAGTCTAAGTCGACCCATTGTTCTTAAAAACATATTACGTGTTCCCCAAATCAATAAGCATCTTCTTTCTGCTCATAAACTTGTTTCTGATAACGATGTGTTTATTGAAATTCACCCTAATGTTTTCTTTGTTAAGGACAACGTCACGAAGAAAACGCTTCTACTCGGTAAAAGCAAAGGAAGTCTTTTCCCGGTGCCCATTACTCATACTTCTCGCATTCCTCATCAAGTCGCATCTGGTGTTAAAGTTTCGTCTTTAGAGTGGCATCGGCATCTTGGTCACCCTATTTCAACAATCATTAAAACTATTTTAAAGTCAAATAAACTAGGTTGTTCTTTTGATAATATGTCTTCTATTTGTGATGCATGTCAACATGCAAAGATTCATCAGCTTCCTTATAATAACTCTGTTCATATTACAACTTTTCCACTTGAGCTTGTTCATACTGATGTTTGGGGACCAGCTCAAGTGTCTAGTGGAGGTTATAAATATTATGTTAGTTTCTTGGATGACTACAATCGTTATACTTGGATTTATCTCCTTAAACATAAATCTGATGTTGAACAAGTCTTTTATAATTTCCAAACTCATGTTGAACGTTTGTTGAATACTAAAATCCGTACTATCCAATCTGACTAGGGTAGTGAATATCACAAGCTCCCTAAATATTTTCAACAAAAAGTTATCGCTCATCGCGTGTCATGTCCCCATACATCTCAACAAAATGGGAGGGCTGAGGGAAAACACCGACACATTGTTGAAACATGCTTGGCTCTTTTAGCTCATTCCTCTCTTCCACTTCGTTTTTGGGACGAAGCTTTCTTAACAGCCTGTTATCTAATAAATCGTATGCCTAGTCGCACAATACAAAATTCTACACCCATCACACGTCTTCTAAAAATCACTCCTGATTACTCCTTTCTTCGTAATTTCGGGTGTGCGTGTTGGCCAAGTCTTCGTAAATATAATACTCACAAACTTGCATATCGATCTAAAATGTGTGTCTTCTTAGGATATAGCTCAATGCACAAAGGGTACAAGTGTTTGGATATGAATACTGGTTGAATTTATATATCTCGGGATGTGATTTTTGATGAATCACGATTCCCATATGCAACCTCTTCTGTCTCTACCACACCATCTCGTAGGTTTGAGGTGGCATCATTTCCTCAATCTGAACCAAGTATCTCGAATGACCATTTGCGGAATTATGACTTATCTTTTTTATTGGCTAACCATTCTAATGCAGCTGCATCACCATTAGCTCCTGTGGTTACCATTCAAATGCCGAGAACCACAACCAGTAATAACATAGGTATCAAGGTGTCTCCACCAACGTCATTACAACAGCAGAGTCACTTGCCAAGAACACCAGTCATGTCGTCATCAGATCCCCCTGCTGTTGACACCACTGAAAACGCAGCTCCTACTGCTACTGTTGACAATAGTGACAATACAACTCCTACTGGTTTCGTTGATTCGACTACTATAACTGCCACGACTGACACTTCACCAGCCTCTCCTATTCCAGCAAGTCCAATTGTTGGTGATGTTTCCTCATCTACATCAGGAATCATGACCCGAGCTCATGCAGGGAAGACTTGCCCTCGAAAATTTACTGATGGAACAATACTTTATAATCCCAATAGACATGCCTTCTTTGCTAAACCTACTTCCTATCGACTGGCTTTGGATGATCCAGCATGGCGACACGCCATGAAAGCTGAATTTTCTGCCCTTCAGAAGAATAATACATGGGTTTTGGTACCACGACCATCTAATGTAAATGTCGTTGGCTACAAATGGGTTTTCAAGCTTAAACAACATTCTGATGGTTCTATTGATAAACATAAGGCACATCTGGTGGCCCGAGGTTTCACTCAACAGTATGGAGTTGACTATCAAGACACATTTAGTTCAGTTGTCAAACCCTCAACGGTTCATTTGATTCTTGCTCTTGCAGTGTCCAGAGGATGGCATCTTCGCCAGATTGATGTAAGTAATGCGTTTCTTCATGGCTTCTTAAATGAAGAGGTTTACATGCAGCAACCTCCAGGTTTTGAAGATTCTCACAACCCTCATCATGTCTGCAAACTTCAGAAGGCGATCTATGAACTAAAACAATCACCTCGCGCATGGTTTTCTCAACTAAGTGACAAGCTACATCAACTTGGATTTCATTCGTCGAAGGCTGACACATCTCTTTTCATTTTACATCGTGGGAATGATCTTATCTACATGCTCGTTTATGTAGATAATATTGTGATTGCTGGTTCCTCTCAAAAACTAGTTGATAAGTTGGTATGTAACTTGTCAACAACTTTTCCTATCAAAGTGGGTTGAGTAGGTTGAGAAAGATAAAGATTCTATGTGTTATGGGTTAGGAAAGATAGAAGAGAAAAAAAATCAAAATAATTGATATGGTAGTGAATTGAGTGAGTTGGGAGGAAATGACTCCCTCCTCCCTTAGTTGTGTTGTCTACACCTGGAAGAGACGTGTCTATATTTGCATTACGCTAAAAATACTATGTTTTCATGAAAGATAATCTTGTATATATAAAGGGTATTCAAACAATAAAGGGGGCATACGTCCCACAAATTTTATAAAAATACAACTCAAAGGTCATATACAAACATTGTATGGGACTTCCACGTGGAAAAGAGAAATAACACTTATAGACATGCCTTAGGAATGTAAAGTAACAGCAGAACCAGTAATCATGTTTGTACCACAAGTATAAGTGCTTCAAACAGACTCTCACCCAACTATACTAAAGCAAGTAGAACATGTAATAACTCGATCTATACAAATGGATACTTTTCTCGATTTCCACAGTTACTGTCTCTCTTTTCACCGGAGCCACCTCTACATATCTTTGGGAGTAGACTGAAACAAACTCACCAATTGTCATACTGCATACACCAGCAACTAAGTCAGCAAAGCCTGTAGGAACCATGGCTCTCACATCTTGTTTAACTGCATGCAGCCACTGTCCCCTTTTTGAGTAATCAAATTCTTCCTCTACTGACACCCCGTATTCCTGTTCTGACTTCTCCTTAAGATCTGGAATGCATAAATTATTTTGCACAGCCATGATGTTGAAAGCAGGAAAGATAATATTATATTACAAAGATTGATAGATCTTGAAAAAAGAACTAGAGAGGACTTATTGTTGATGATAGAGCCCCTCAGATAGGACATATATATAGTATGCATTTGTGTGTTTTACCTATATATAATAACCAAAATGTTTAGATGCTGAGAAAACAATTTCAGATTGTGCAAGCCACATGCCCCTGATAATGATTTTTAAAGAAAGCATTACAAGAAATAGTTTAAATAGTATCAGCAGCCAAGGTGACATGCTTACCAATTAATGCATGCACATCCTTTTTCTTGGTTATAATCCAACTACAATTAAGATAAGTTTGTGTACGTAATATTATATGTGATGTTGATCCTTGGTTGTTATAATTATAGAAAAGAGTGTGCACTCCACAAGTGAAGTTTGAGTAATCAATCTCACATAAAAATTTAAGATAGTAGAATCCACATTATAATTGCCACAAACCACTCAATATAAAAATGAAACATCTAAAAACAATATATAAGGGGGTGTTTGGCTTAGCTTGTAAAGCCCAAAAGTCCTTTTTGGAAAAGTTACAAAAAGTCGAGATTTCTGACTTTTCCAAAAAATTGATTTTCCTTGTATAAAAACTCCAAGAGTAGTTTTATAAACTAGTTTATCAAACATCTTTTACTTTTTTTCTTTTCCAAAAAAGACTTTTGGCTGTGAAAAGCTAAGCCAAACACCCACTAAAACTGAAATGGAGTGTTCAGTCCATAAGTGGTGGAAAGAGGAGTTTATAAAATGGAAGGAGTGTGGAATCCACACCACCCGCATCATAAAGATGAACTGGAGAAGGAGAAGGCTTTTACTCTGATATTTAACTATGTATAGTGTACCAAACTAGATAAGGACAAAGTAAATCATTAGGAAGACACTTGAATAAAAGAACGAGGGAATGGATTTGGAGAATCTAAAGCCAAGTTTATTAAATTTAAAGAAGCCTGCACTCCACACTAAAGTTGTTAAGTTCAATAATTACTATATTAGAGGATTGTGGAATCCCCCTCAATGTTCAAATAGGAATCAAAAGCCAAGGATTAAAAACTGAAAAGAGGTGTGCAACCCACAAGTAGTGGAAAAATAAGTATTATATATGAAAGGAGAGTGGAATACATTAATTCAAAGGGAAACCATAGAAGACTCCTTGTCGGATATAGAATAGCTTGACCTACTTCTCCATAAGAAATGGTATTAATACTATTTATATGTTGAGCATAAATCTATAACACAAGTTGCCTTACATCAAGGTAGTGTTAACTGATTTCTTAAACAAAAACATCAATTTATTGATCCAAAAATCTCATTTTACATAAACTCAATAGGAGTCAATATATTACTACGTTCCTTGAAACCTACTTACTGCATTCATGGCACCTCCACAGCTATGAATATATAGATAGACCTTTACACAGGTTAAACTCTTTGTTGGAGAGTGCTCACAAAGTGTAAAAACGATTATATATCTACTTGAAGTATAATGAAATCACATAACAACCATACCATGACGTCAATACATAAAATTTAAAAAGTAGCCATTTTATCTGCCTAATTTATATTAATCATTATATAGTGCCAAATGGGGGATGCAGCCCTAGCCAAGAATTCATCTACAAGAGTGTCATTCATAACTCAAGAGGAACTTCACCATTTGTTGTTGTATACTAAACTCCCCATGACAGGTGATGGATTTGGTCGAACTGGGGGTGATGTCATGGTCTACTTATGCAAAAAGAGATTTCAAGTATATACATATAGAAAACTTGGTCAACGAAAATATGCTCCCTACAAAATACTATACGAAAGATCAATGATAACACATATCGTTGACCTTCCTAATTCCTATCATATTCATTTCTATACCATATACAATTATACGGCCCTTTAAAGTTTAAACAAAGAAAAGGGACAAACCATTATAATTTACCAGTTTAACCTTTATTTTAATTATCACACAGTTAATAAAAAGTTAGAGGAAGGTGGAAAGCTGTGTAGGATAGCACTTGCCTAGATTAAAAATTGGAAGGAGTGTGCACTCCACACTAAAGATAGAAACTATAATATTATTTTATCTAAAGGTTGCAGGATCCACACAAATACTTGAGCTTCCATCCATCATAACGCTTTAACAAGCAAAAGTTAAAGTTTGCTTGTATTCTTGTTTCTTTTTTCTTCCCATGAGAGTGGATAGATTTAAATTTGGTTAGTTATGATAATTGAGTGAATATGTTAAAGGATGTATCAGTTACAGTATAAGAGAATTCGAACTTCCCATATATTTGTCCTGATCATTCTTAAATCTTGAAAATACCTAGAAATTCTCAATTAATAAATGCCTAATGCCATAATTAAGCTTAGTCACCCGGGTCAACATAGATTGATAACACAAACCCCCTTACGTCAAGGTAGTCTTAAATGATTTCTGAACGTCCTATTAAACAAAGTATCAATTTAATAGTCCAAAAAGCTCATATCACCTTAAACTCAATAGGGTGTATTGCATAATGCCAGGTGCATGAAATCAACTTCAAGCTATACAAACGAAATTGGGGAAGACTAAAACGAGTAACAAAACAAAATGTCACAATCTAATTAATATGTTTATGGGAACTAACTTACTGCAACTCACTGCATCTTCATAGCTATGAAGGTTGCATAGGATAGAGCTCAAAAGTTGTAAACAATTACATGTACTTGAAGGATTATAAAATCACATAACAGCTACACCATCACATGTCGATATGTAAAATGAAAAAGGTAGTCGATATGTCTCCCCCAATATTCTATAATAATCATTGCATGGTGTTAAATACAAAATCCCTGATGCTTTGTCAATCATATATCTTTATGAGTGAAACCAGCAACCTTAAGGCTAAGTGGAATAAACAGAAAGTTCAAGCTTCAAACTGTACTATATTATAAAGGTGAAAATACAATATATCTTGTGTAACACTACATGACAGTAGATCCTATCCCCATGGTCAGTCCAAAAGTAATAGCCATAGCCATCCACCCTCCAACCAGAATCCTAAAACAAGACTTCCCCACAGAACTCCCCCCAAGAACAGCCCCAATCCACCCGAAAACCACCAGCCCCAAGCTCACTGTGGCTACCACCACCCCCAGCCTAACCTTGTGGTCCACTATAAAAGCAGCAGCCAGTAAGGGCATGATGGCCCCCAACATGAATGCAAAGGCCGATGCTGCAGCTGCCTGAATGGGATTCGGGAGTGCTTCCTTCTCACTTTCCTCCTCATTTCCTGAAATTCTCTTATCTCTCTTCATCTGAGCCACCTCTACATCTCGTTGGGAGTAAACTGAAACAAACTCACCTATTGCCATACTGCATGCACCTGCAACTAAGCCAGCAAAGCCTGTAAGAATCATGGCTCTCACATCTTCCTTCACAGCTCCAACTCCCATCATCAGAGATGAGACTGAGACTAGACCATCAGTGGCTCCCAGAACAGCAGCACGCAGCCACTGTCCTCTTTGTGAGTAGTCAAATTCTTTTTCTATACACGCTTGGCCATGTACTTGTTCAGATTTGTTCTCAGAAACCGGAATGCATACATCAATATTTCTATCCATGAAAGTGAAAGAAAGAATGAGAAAATTATATCACAAAGAATGATAAATGAAGTGTTACTTGTGGAAGATAGAATCCCACCTATGTGTTATATATAGTATGTATTTATGTATAATGATCAATAGGTAGGTGGTTAATAAAGTTAAAGATAGTGGGAAATCCACAACCCCTCAGATTTTGGTATGTTTATTATAAAGAAATAAAAGGAGCCAATACTAGTGGTAGAAGCCTGTAATTTGAGAAACAGGCAATCTCCCGAAGAGTTCAAGACTCAATAACTATTATTCATCATAATCAAAAAAACCATACCTAAACCTATCCTAAATTAAAAGATACTAATAGGTATCCTAATTTTATATAAAGATAGCTACTACCTAATTTCAATAAATAATTAAATAAACTGACCTAATCGACGAGTCGTATCAACTACATACAAAACAAGGGAAGATTGATGGTTAAAAAATTCAAGGTTAGTGGAATCCACAAGATTGCCAGTAGGCACTCGGCATCTAAATAACAAAAACATCAACAGCCTTTCCTAAGTAAAAATAAAAAAATGGAAACCACACATACACATATTGAAGAACCTTAGAGAATTGAATGAGTAGGCTCATTTTCAGATCTGTTGACCACTTTTACGATAAAAAAAGTAGCACTATGACTACTTACAAGTTAAAAGAGTGCAATCCTCATAACAGAATTATAGAAGCAATAGGAGTAGGTCCATATAATCGTTGCTCTGTTTTCCTACATTTTATAAAAGTAGGATGGCCAATTTAAGTTGTGTTATAATGCATGTATATAACTATATATTATACCTTTTGCTCAGGAGTGTTGCTGATGGACCTAATTTGTTTTTATGCTTATTATTAGTTTCTTTCATTTATATCCATTTGTTTCATCTCCTATCTCTACTGGATACATGCTTGTTACCCTGGCATATGTGCATGTAAGATTTACTCTATATCAACTAGGTTTAGATCTGCAAGATGAGCCTAACTTTGCGTTATGGCACCAAATATTCTTTTTTTAGCAGAATAATTTTGTGTGATGTGAAGTGTTCTACTTGAACAATATAATAGGGAGAACTTAAGCTTCGTAATTATAATGAAAAGGAAAGATTGTGCACTCACAACTAAAGTTAGAGTAATCAATCTCAACAAAGTAAAAAGGAGTGTGGAATCCACACGACTGCAGCAATCCACTCAATATAAAAATGAAACAGTATCTCAAAACATATAAAACTGAATGGTGTGTGGAGTCCATAAATATGAGTTTAAAAAATGGAAGGAGTGTGGAATCCACACCACCCACAGCATAAAAAAATGAAGGGAAAAGGAGAAGGCTCCTCTAATATGTTGAGCTACTTTCCAAACAA